CCATGATATTCATACAAAAGCAAAAAACTCCAATTGTGAATAGTGAAAAGAAGGTTATCCACAGTAGCACGACTGCTATTAGGTATAGGGAAGTAGGTCGAAAAATATAAAAAATTTGGTCCAAAACTAAATATTCTTAAAGGCAGAAGTCGGGTCCTGACCCTATTTTTAACAATTGTATATAAATACTAACACTTACACAATTTGTTTCTTGCAATAAGTACATACTTCCATTTACCACAAAATATTATTTATGTCTTATGCTGTGGTGAACTTTTCTTAATCTCTAATACCACTTAGAGGATTTTAAGAGATACCACTTAAAGGATTTTAAGAGAGATTTCCCCACGACAAAACGTCTTAAAGAAAGCGATCTAGTAGTAGCAGCTAATTAACGTTTGTGACGTGGTTCATGTCGCAAATAACCTTATATTTTGTAGTGGTTAGTCTTTAAAAAATTGGCTAGAAATACATTCCCATTTATATTAGTGTGAACTTCGTAAAGATGATAATATTTTTCACATTTGTGATTAAAGTTAAGTTAAAACACACTTAAAGAGATATATTAATAATTCTAAATATTTGATGTTTGATTTGTGATTAATAATTTAATCAAAATCTGTTCGTCGAGATTGTTTCGCTAAGATGATAAAATTAAAAAAAATCTCTTTACAAATACCTTATATGGTATCTCTCTTAAAATACCTTATATGGTATCTGAGAATTGGTTTTGATTAAATTATTATATTCAAATTCGTTCATGCATAATCATATTTTATGGTGATAAGTTCATAGTTGTTTGGATCAATCGATATAATATTTCATGTAATTTGATTGATTTAAATTGCTGTAATGATTGTGGCAAGGTATGCACGGTAAGTAATCGTTCATTTGCTAGGATTGATAAAAGTTGCTTAATTTCAATTATTGTATGCCATGAATGTTGCGATCCTGAGTTTGTAGCTTTCATGATATACATATTTTATTGCCCCCTAGTCTATGGTATCAGTACCAATCTCTTGAGAGCCTCAATAATATTTCTGGAATGACTCTAAGTCCAATAGAGACAGGGGTCAACTAAGAAGAGAATCCAGTCAAGGCCTTCAAGAGAATTGTGAACAACCAAGAAGAATTTACTGATACGTCTCCTACTTTGCCTAATTTTCCAAAAAAATGATTTTGCAGAGATGTTCCAACAACTTAAGTCCAAACTTGTTGATATGGACCTTATTCAAACCATCAAAGATAACTCAATTGTTCTTTTTGAAATCCAAGGGCTACTATTGAAGCTAAACAAATCAGAGGCGCCGAATTCTATTGCGGACTTCGTCTTAGATTTTGAGCCTCTTCTTGAATAAGTAATTCAAGTTGTTAGGATTAACACGACAATAATTAATGACAATGCTTTCAATTTAAGAAAATTATTTTTGCATATCAAACTCAGAGTGCCATGCTTTTTTTACTTCATATTGGCGTATGCATAGTCTTCTTCTACAAATAAGAATCATTGGCGCCAAGCGTGAGGAAATGCTAGACATTTGGTAATTCCGCCTCCTGCCAAAATAAGAGATGGCATTGAAGCGGCTAATCTCATGCATATTGTATGTACTTGTGCTTCTACAACTTGCATAGTATTAAAAATGGCCATTCCCGAAAAAAACGACGCAAAGCTGATTTTTGTGTCATGAAAATCACGTGGCAAACCTGGCAACCTAACTTGCTCTTCTGAATTGTAGCAATGCAGGTCTGCTATACAACAAAATTTTGTAGGGTGATTTACGCCAAAAAAATATTGCGATGTGTAAATTATGTGACAAAGTTGTGGCATAATTTTTACGTGGCAAAAATATTTTTCCAAGCGCTCTTGCCTCAGGTTTCTTCACGTCGCTAATTAACATTTGTGACGTAGTTTTCACCTTTGTGATATGAAAATCATGTTGCTAATAACTATTTTTTTAGTGGTTATTCTCATACAAATGGCTAGCGTTGCATTCCCATTTGTACTCGTGTGTACTTCGTAGAGACGATGGTATTTTCCACATTCGTGATTAAATTTAAGTTAAAGCACATTTTAAGAGATATTCTAATAATCCTAATTACTTGATGTTTGGTTTGTGATTAATGACTTAATCAATATCCGTTAATCGAGATTGTTCCATTAAAATGATAAAACTTTGAGAAATCACTCTAAAAATGCCTTATGTGGTATCACAAATTTGGTTTTGATTAAATTATAAAATTTAAATTCGTTTGATGCATTGTGATATTTTATGGGGATAAATTCATAGTTGCTTGGATATCTTGATTAATCGATAGAATATTTTATGGAATCTCTCTTCTCCTTCTCATTCTCGGCTTGGATATATTCAAATTTTTTAGTGGCTTATCGCGTCATTAACGACTGAATTATTTTTCAAATGCAAGTGGTTTAAAGCACCATTTAAAGTTGTACCTCTTCGAATGATTTATTACAGTGAAAATGATAATAGTTAATTTAAAAGGGTTGTTTTATCCTGGAAATACACCATTACATAATTTTTGGAAGTACAGTTAAACATCTTAAATAAAACGACCTAGTATACGACCCACCTCAATAATTTTCTTTGTAGAATATTATATATTAATCTAAAATAATAGCATTGTAATTTTCTTTGTGGTGAAACGTCTTTAAAAAAGTTGTACATAAATTTTATTAAAAAACAATTAACGAGATACATAAAATAATAACATTGTAATTTTAAATTCAGTTATATTAATCTAAAATAATAATAAAATTAAATTTATCTCATTGATTCTCCTGTAACGTTTTACTAACTTGAAAATTATAAACACTATTTAGAAATTCATTATATAATTTTTGAAACTTATTTTGATATGTTTTACATATGTAAAACATTTCTACTATGGCACCATTTGCCAATCAACAATGTGGACGTGCGTGGTTTCGAAAACCGTTTGCACATCCCTCACTCGTTGTAGAGAGGAAAATTAATGATATATTGATGGAATGTTTCCAATACACTTGTCTCTGGACAAAACATAGCTCTTCTAAAATAGGGATATGGGCAGCTACCTATCAACTCAACTCAGTGGCTAGGAGCCAACTACTATCCAAATGGTTGAGAGACTATATTCTTTTACTAACAAACTAAACAAGGATTGACTTAGGAGTTGTTAGATTTTCTTTGGGAAGAAGAAATTGATCTTTAATTCTCTTGAATTTTCGAATTCCTCACGTCAGATTTTTTCACGACGAAATGTTTTAAAGAAAGTGACCTAATATGCGATTCATCTTGATAGTTTTCTTTGTGGTAATTTTTCAAAAACTGAAAACAACATTAACACATATAATTTATTTATTCAAAACATCATGGTGTTAGAATCTCTTGACAAGTTCATTCCATTGTAATAAAAATTATTTTCCATTCTCAAAAAAATGGCTAGCAATGCATTCTATTTTATACTCGTGTAAACTTCGTAGAGACGATGATATTTTTTGCATTTTTGATCAAAATTAAGTTAAAACACGATTCAAGAGGTATTCTGATACTCCTGATTATTTAATGTTTGGTTTGTTATTAATAATTTAATTAAGATCTGTTAATCGAGATTAGTCCGTTATGATGAAATTTTTTAAAAAAATCTCTCTTAAAATCCCTTAAGTGGTATCATCAGAGATTTGGACAGATGCTATTTATTTAGCTTTAGGTATGACCCTATTTTTGAAAGTACTTCACAATATTATCTAAGTAATATTTGCACAGATGCTATTTATTTAGCTTTAGGTATGACCCTATTTTCAACAATTGTATATAAAATTTTGTTTATTGCAATAAGTACATACTCCCATTTACCACAACATTATTTATGTCTTATGCTGTGGTGAACTTTTCTTAATCAACATCGACATCTTCATTATCAATGCACATTATCTATCACCAATGGCTTCTTCTTTAATAATTGTCCTAGGATGGTGATATAAATTTTGCCAACAGAGTATGTTATCAACTATTAAGTTCTCATTGAAAGTCATATGAAAGTTATATGAAGATATTTTTTGATATTTACATTGGATCATCTGATTATTTTCATATTTGATAATGTTTTTGTTTATTTTTAAACTACTTCAAAATGAATGTAATTCTTTATCATACAAACTATCCCCATTATAGTTAAGAATCTGTAATATATATTATAACTTTTATTTGTTTTTTAAATCAACAATGAATTTTTTTATGCTTATATATGAAGTTTTCAACTAACATAATAAATATAAAAATTGATTACACTAAAATAATGATTTGCCTTTATATTTTATTATAGATAATAAAAAACATATTTTAAAAAAATAGCCATCAAAAGTTATATTTTGGACAGCATATGCAAAACAATCTGATTTAAAATCTGTAACAATTGAATTATATCTTGTAAAAGTAATAATTTATTTTTTAGAACAAAATTATTTTTCAAATAAAGAAACTAACAAACAAATTCTAAAAACTTAAATTGTACTCTACACTTTCGGTAATACATTTAGTTCCAACGTTAATATTTGATAAATTTTTTGACGAAACAATACTCAAATGATATGAATAGTCAGTTAAAAATATTACAATCAAACACAAGATCAATCTATGAACACTTAATGTAACGCCAAAATCAAGGCACCATTTGAAGTTAAATAAGCTGCATAACAATTATTAATCAAAATGCTAAAGAAAATAATACCATATCATGCATTTAAATTCTCAATTAGTAAGAAAATGAAGTAAGATGCAAGACACCTTTCTCGTTCAAAATAAAGTCTAAAAAGGATTCATGACAATGAACCTTTGAAAAAAAAGTGTTGCTGTCTAATAGAAATAAACAGTAGAACAAGTCCTTAAAGACTTGGTACTTGTAATCTAACACACTACATCAAGATCAAGACTTCTACAGTTTCACTTTTAGCACAAAGCAGCAAACTGAAAAATTAAGTAGTTTAACTCGATCATAGCATCTCAGATGCTATCTTTCGTAATGTGGCTTTCGGAATCAAGTATGTTGGTCAGTTTTACCTCTGAAATTGATGGTTCTGTGAAAACTGGGTAATCCATGTTTAAAAATGAATCTTTTGCTGCAAAGGGTCTCCTTGCTGAAGCTGCCAGATCAACGCTGGTTGGAGCGACACATAGACCTGGAGTAGACGAACCCTTCAAAAATTCCTGGTTTTTAGGATGATTAAAAAACTCCCCGTGCTTTGATAACTCCATACCATTGGATTTATCTTGGAAGCTGACATCAGTCTCACAAAAAGAAAGAGAATTTCCATTGATCTTTTCCTGTGTCCCGGAATTTATATCCATGAGCCCAACTTGTTTGATCAAACAATCAATTTGATTATCAGGATAAACATTTTCCTGGTGATTGACACGGGTGAGTGTACGCAAATCATGATTAGTGCTCTCCATTTCATGCGAAAGTGATGTATATTCAACATTTTTAAAAGCACCCTTGAGCATTTCAGTAGAGGTTTTGATATTTTCCTCTGCACTGAATGCCTTAACTGCAATATCTAATGATTCATCAAAATGACTTGGATGAGGATTTTTCTGGTTATCAACTTTTTTGTTTCCAATTGGTGTGATAGATCTCACTGCTTGCAGGTTTCCAAGCTTTGCTTTGTTTTGCCCTTCACTTGGACTTCTTGCACCATGATTTAGTAAGCCTTGAAGCACAGCAGAAGAGTGTGGTTGCGCTCCCCCACGTGGAGTGCGCACTGAGGATTTCACCTGCATAACATTATGAGACTGTTTCAACAAATGCAATGCAATGTGTAATAAAGAGATGAAGATATAAATTGTAAAATAAAAAAGTCTTAGCTTACAGAAACACATATTACACCAAAAAAAACAATACATGACTTTCAAGATGTGTGACCAAAGTCATAAGGATGCAATTTCTCAAAAAAGATGCGCTCTCAAACTATGTTTGTGATTATATCAACTATAAAGGCGAAAACTCACCCCATCAAAGAAACCAATCTTTGGTGAAGGCAGTCGCAGGCCTGAAGGTTTTGCAAGAGCAGAGGGAATAACTGCTGCCATAGAAGCAGTTCTTGCACTTGGACTGATAATTCCAGAGCGCAGAGCCTCCCGCCCTTCTAAGCTCAAATCACTCTGAAGAATCTGAGAATAACTGCTAGAACAACTATCAATGCTGGACCTTGAACTATCACACATGTGTTTATGCACTGAAGCTGAAACGGATGCCTCTGAAGACCAGTCACTAACAGAGCTAGCTGGGGAAATACTAGAAGAAAGCTTGTTGGCAGATATCAAGCTTGAGAGACTAGAATTCACAGATTCAATTTTATTTCTTGAAGCAAAACCTGACGGTGTTTTGACTGGAGGGCGAGATGAGGGAGGCTTTGAATTTCCCGCAATAACTTTTCTTCTTGCAGAATTAAATGGAGATTTAGCAATATTAGCAGATAAATTGCTACCAGAAGATGTGGAAGATACTGATTTTGCCTTGGTTGATACTGACTGGCCAGAAGTTAATTTGGATAATATTGTGGGTTTAGGCTCTGTACCACGTGAACTTCCAATAACAGATGCTTTTGACATTGAGCTGACTCTATCTGTAGAGGTCAAATATAAATGAGTTTACATTTACTATAACTCAAAAAAGGTTATGCCAAAATGAGAAGGAAAAAAAAAGTAAACATGCTAATGCAAGTTCTAACCACCAATTATGTGTTTTGCTCTGTCCTTTTCACTTTTGGCATGCAGACCGCTTAGTGATGCTCTCTTGGCTGAAATAGTGGAACTTGCAATAGGTTTTGCTGGTAACTTCGATAGTTTTGAAATAGATGATTCCCTCCTTGTAGCAAGAGGCTTTTTCAAAATAAGAAAATCATGGTTTAGTATAATTTGAAATGGCACTAACTCTCTTCAGTTGTTTAATTTAGTTGCATACCTGTGGAATTTGTGTAAAAGTATTCTTGTTTGTAGCCTTCCCAGTTCCTCTCACAACTGGTGTTGTAGGATTTCTAGGGGTCGGTGGGGCCTTCATCTATAATCAACAGAAAGTTATTGCCGACAGGATTTTATTGTGTAGCAAAATGGAAGCCAATTAGCTATACAATTTCAGTCTATGACAAACAACTATACATTCCTCCAAGTCAAAGTTCCAAAGGTGGAATTATAGCCTAAGTTTTGAAAGAAGAAAACAACCCACAGCTGAACCAGCTCAATAGGCTAGGATCATAGGACAATTTTGATCAATGTAACCAATCCCAGGTAATAGAATATATTATTGGTGCAATGAGAAAATGCATCTAAACATGTGAATGCGACAAAAATATTCTAGTCACTGTCATTAAAATAAGTTACCTTGTTGCGAGCAACAACGCCAACTTTTCTGGATGCTGAAAAATAAAACATCAAAGAATCATCAATTGAACTAATTAAGGACAAATCAGCACACAATCTATTTCAAACATGCAGAGTGAAAGCAAAGACTCACGAGTTTGTAACCCTGGTAGTCCAGAGGCAGAGGACATTCTAGTTGGTGCAGTTGCAAGTTTGGACTTACGGCTAGATTTCTGAATGGAAGCTCTAACATCCTCAAACAAATCACCCTCCAAATCAACACTTTCAAAGGTCAAACTATCACTCCCTAATGTCGAAACGGAGTCACATGATTTGTATACATCCTCTTCAATCTTTGGTAATGTTTCCTTCTCAACACCCTCAATTATACTAGACAACTCATCAGGATCCAGAACCCCTAAACATAAACACCATTCAAAATTCAAATACAAACCAGAATATTCAAAATCCTAATTCAATAAATTTAATTTAAAAAAGGAAAAAAAATGAGAGAGTTTAATTTTAAATAAAAATATACCAGCACAAGTGAAAAAAGCACTGTCCCAAGCTAAACTCTTGCGCAAATTGCATTTAGGGTTTCTCATGGACTTTTTCTCAGAAGTTTGAGGTTCGTCCTCCCACTGTTCAATTTTGGTAGCAGCGTCTTCGAACTTTTTTGAATTCGGAGTGTACCAAGCTTCGTTTTCTGAAAAAAAAAAAACAAAGAGAACGAAACTTTGAGTTTCAATTTTTACAAGATTCATCTGATCTCGAAAAACGAAGTAAAAAATTAGGGAAATGTGACCTGAATTTTGGTGATTAGAAGATACTGGATCGAGAAGCGAATCATCGGCGGAGAGAAAATCGATGATGCTGAGTCGGCGATCATTGACATCGTTGTTTCTCAGAGAAGAATCTGAATCGGAGTTCATCGAGGTTTACCGACGGTGAACTTTGCTGATTCCGCCGTTAAAGTGGTTTGACGGAAGGAGTGAGAGCGCTTTCTGTTTCAGAAATTTGAACTTTGGAGTAGCGGCTAGTGTGGACTACAACGAAAATAACAATTTACAAAATTTAAACTAAAGATGATGTATTAATTTTTTTTTTATCATTTCAACTTTTATTATGTATTACAACATTTTTTTAAATAACCATTTCATCACACCCATAGTAATTTTCTGATAAGTACATGATTCTCGAAGGTGTAAAAAGTTGTGAGAGGCATAGGCTAAATTAATTTTGATTTATTTTTTAATGTTATTATTTCTGATAAATATTGATTTATTCGATGATTCGCATTCTATATCTTTCAAAGAGTAACACAAAATAATTGAGTCCCCATATGGGGCATTCAGTTTCAAATAATTATCTAGTTAAAATTCAGATCAGAAGCATGGTTTATACGAAGACCAAAGGATAATAAAAACCAAACTTGTTTGAAGAGTTCACAATGTAGAAAAAGGTGATCAGTTGTTTCCAAATTGTTGTGGTAAAGGGGACAGTCGGAAATAGTTTGAACTCTTTTATGATACAAATTTGTTCTTGTAGGAAGAATATTCTTTGTCATCCTCCACAAGAAATTCCTCACCTTATTATGGACATGAGCATTCCAAAACTTTTTCCACAAATTTCTTTGAGTGTGACAAGAGGGGCTTGAGATTGACCTTTCTTCTTTCCTACCAAGTAAGTGATAAGCCGATTTAATAGTGTAGATTCCATCTTTCTTAAAGTGGCAAATGAGCTTATCCTCATGGCTGCTCCAAGAGAGAAGGATGCTCGTAATTTGGGCACAGACATAAGGATTGAAGCAAACTTTAATGAGGTTCTGCTTCCAACAATGCAAATTTGGATCAATGAGATCACTAACCACTACATCTTCCCCGATACCTATGATAGGGCCATGAGTCATAGAACCTCCCACACTTAGAATCCAGTTATCTTTCCACACTCTCACATTATGCCCATCCCCAATCCTTCATCTTGAGCCTTCCTCCAAAAGATCCATGGATCCTGAAATACTCCTCCACGCATAGCTGAGATTCAAGCCAAGCTTAGCCTCTCTGATAGAAGTCATAGGGTACTATCTACTCTTGAAGACTTTCTCCAACAGTGAAGGTCCTCTAGTTAGCAGTCGCCAATAGTGCTTGCCTAACAGACTCATGTTAAAATCCTTAATGCCCCTGAATCCCAAACCACCTTCACCTTTAGCTTTTGACAGCTTCAACCAAATCATTCAATGAATTTTCCTATCCTCTTATAGAAAACCCACCAAATCCTTTCTAAAAGTCCTTCAATTTCTTTGTAACAACCATCTGGAAGCTTGAAGCAGCTCATAACGTACATAAGGATTATTTATGCCATAGATTTTATCACCACCTCTTTCCCAGCTCTGGACAAGAATATCTCTTTCCAACCCTTCACTTTCTTCCAAACTCTATCAATCAACTATGAAAAGATGGTCTTTTGAACCTCTCAAAGATGGCTAGTAAGCCCAAGTATCTTGAATGAGCCTCAACAGTCTTAACTCTCATACTATTACATATTACATCTCTATCACTCTCCCCCATATTTTGACTAAAAGAGCCTTCATACTTTTCAAGATTGACCATATGCCTAGAGTCTCCATGATCTTATCTGCTTCTTTGCTTTATGCCATTGAGAATATGAGGTTATCATCCGTGAATAGAATGTGAGTAATAATAATAGTTTTCCTTTCCACTTGAATACCATGGATCTGCTTGTCTTTCACTCTCATCTTTAACATACTTGATAAGACATCTGCACACAAAACAAAAAGGTAAGGTGATAGAGGATCTCCTTAACGGAGTCCCCTAAATATATTGTATTTACTAGAATTTGAATTTAGAAGAAGTTACATATTCAAATGAAAGTTATCAAATATCAACAAAAAAAGGAAAAACTTCTACAAGGTAGGTTAGGTAGCTAAGAACTGTTATGAATCACATAAAGTTTGTATAAGAAAAAAAGTTAATTTTCAGTTTTCCATAATGAAGGAAATGAAAAGATTTTCATTATTTGGGAGTTATATTTTTCATTCAAAAATATATCGTGAACAAGAATGTTGTATGTGTCTTCATCTTATTGTTAAAAGCATTTTTGATAATTCAAGTGCTATAACCGGTTAACACGGGGGTGTAACCGGTTATATTAAGGTCAAAGTCACTTATGAGTTGAAGTAAAAGGAAAAATATCATGGGTGTAATCGGTTAACGTCTGCACTTAACCGGTTAGCTGTTGAAAGTGATTTAGTTTTTGTAGCAATTGTAATCGATTACAGGTTTAGTGTAATCGGTTATAGGCACAAGTTTTTCCATTTTATGTTATTTGAGTCGTAATCACTATGTAATACTTGTATAAATATCTTGGAGGCATCCTCATCAATTATGAATAAAAAATATTCTCACCTTCAATTCTTTGTCTGTCTCTGTCTATCTATCTATCTCTCTCTCTCTCTCTCTCTCTCTCTCTTATTTCCCTCTCCACACTCTAATTTTCTCCAATATTCATCAATATTGTGGTTCAAAGTTCCAATATTTGACATCAAGAGCCTAGTTCTGATCCATAAACACCTGTTGGGAAATAAGTGTGAGTTTTTTTAAGAAACAAATATGAGTTATAAGTCTCACGTTGCTTAGAAGAGTGGAGGTTAAGTACTTTATAAGTAAGAGGAACCATACACCTATCACCTTAAAGTTTTGGGTGAATATGTGGTGTTTCTCTCACTTATTTGGGTGAGTCTTTGATCTTTAGGGTAATGTTTGACCCAATGTGAATGATTCCCCCTCGTGATGACCCATCAGTGATATCAGAGTCGTGATTCGAGTAAGGAATCAGCTCCTTATGTCGAAAGTCTTTCTGACATGGTGGTCAGGCGGCGTGTTCTGTTGAAGTGTCCATGACGAGATAAGGGTGTCTCTCAATGGCGGTATAAACATGTGGATGAAAGAGATTACGCTTAAGGAGGATCATAATGGATGGACTCACACTTGAGTGGGAGATTATTGGGAAACAAGTGAGTTGTGCTGAGAAACAAGTGTGAGTTATAAGTTCCACATTGCTTACAAAAGTGAGGGTTAAGCACTTTATAAGTAAGAGGATCCATACACCTATCACCTTAAGGTTTTGGGTGAATATGTGGTGTTTTTATCACTTGTTTAGATGAGTCTTTTACCTTTAGGTGAATGTTTGAATCCTAATGTGAATGCTCCCCCTCATGATGACCCATCAACACCTAGTGTGCAACATGAATTATGTCTCCAGTGAAAGAATCTCTGCAAACATGTTAAGTGCAAATTTTGACTTAAATTGAACCATCTTTCTAGGAACTTTTCAACTCAATCCTCATGTTTTAATAGATTTATTTCTTGTTCTTGTGTGACTTCTCAATTATATTGAAAATACCTTTAGATTCTTTGATGTGTGTGTTATTGTGCAGAATTTAGGCATAAAACATCAATGATTAAGACACAAAGGAATGGACAAGGAAGCCCAAGAAAAGAAGAGGAATCAACATGTTCGTTGTGCAAACACCAATGAGGGAAAAACGAATGCTTGCCGTGCGAGGTCCTGGCGAAGCCCCAGCGAACCAGCCCAGATTAGAGACAGTAGGAAAAGGACCCAAAGTTTGCTGGGCGAATCTATAGCGAAGAGGTTCATTGTGCAAAGAAGTGTTCGCGCAGCGAACTCAAATATTTTCCAAGGGCGATTTAACTGTTCCCGAGGCACTTGAAGTGCCCAAAAGTGGTCTTGGCTGAGCGAATAGGGTGTTCGCTAGGCGAACATGGCAGAATTTTGTTTTACTATATATGTACTTTTCTTACTTTTTAGAAAATAACTTTTTGTAATTTGTATTTTTCACATCATAACTTTATCTCTCTTCATTCCAAGTATATTATAGAGAGAGAAACACAAACCCTAAGAGGGAGAAGGTAAGAGCTTCAATTTCTTGTTGGGTTTGGATGTAATCTTTTGATACCTTATGTATTTCATCTAATATATGTTTTGTGAACTAGTTTTGATTCGATATTGATGTTGTCTTTGATTTCTTATTTGTTGGTCTTGACAAAACCTTTTCAAATCTTAGATCTCAGATATTCATCTATTAATGAGAAAACTTTTGACATAGTCTTGTAAATTGATATTCACTTGTATCTTCTATTTTATTGTGTTTATTAGCAGCATGTTCGTCCCTTTGTCGAAGTGGATCCTCTACCACTTGATGGGAAACTTCACTTTTAGGCTCTCCTCCTCCTGCCCGTCCACGAGCTTGACCATGCGCTCGAACAAGGAATCGACAGTGGCATGCGATACAGGCTTCACGAGGAAGTATTTGTCTTTAAAGGCACGGATGGAGTCCAAGTACGTTCTAAACAGCTTCCTCAGCTGATTCAAGGACACCCAGTTATGCCGCCCGTGTGAAGACTGCTGCTAAAGATGGAAGAGACGAAAGAACAGTGGGAGTATGGTGCCGATGTGAAGGTGTTAACATACGAGCTCGAATGCTCGCACGAACGCGATCGCCTTCGGATGAAGCTACGAGGGTACTAACTCTAGCCATTAAAATATGCCTGCCTGAAAGTCGCTGAAGGGAAGATGAAACCCTGCTTCCTAGAAGGAGAATTCGTACATAGGGAAGTGCATCCCCTCAAACGACGAGCATATCCGATCCATTTCCTTGAGCTCATAGACCTCTCAGTTCACAGGGGCCTTTTCTTCTAGGTCCTCGATGGTTGTGAAGGCATCCGAGTCGTCGAAAATAAAATGTGAGGCGATGGCTCGGGGTTCCCGCCTGACCCAATCCGGTTGGGGTTCATGTTTATGTCGGACAAATTGACTTCGGCATCTACGTAGACCATATGGGTGTCCTCGGGATTTTTGGGCCATTTAACCTGAAAAACAGAGGAAAACAATG